TTGGGACAGAAGGCAGAGGAGAGGAGAGCAGTGGAAATCTATGGGCCGGCCCTTGGGATGGAAAAGCTACTGTTGCTATTGAAGCCCCACCCTAGCTCTGGGGTTAAAAGGCAGGGGGCGGAGGTGAATAGATGTGGCAGACAACTATTTGTCTCCCTGCCGGATGGACTTGTTAGCCTGCGGTGTGAGGTTTTTTTGCCGGGGCTGCTGGCAGTCCTAATAAAGGAATAATTGATTTAAATACAGAGGATTTGTCGTGTTTGGGGAGCCGGGTCAGAACAGGTTGCTAAATGAGGACTGCATGTACACTTCTATTCTCTTTTTCTCCTCCTTGCCTTCTATTTCTTTCCCCTGTTTGTGTCTCCCCAGGTGTCCGCCTCTGATGGATATCACCTTGCATATGCTGAATGGCTACCTGCTGGCTTCAAAAGCCTACTTGAGCGCCCACCTCAAAGAAACGGCCGATCAGGATGTGAAACCTTTGCAAAACAACGTAACGGGTCTGGAAGGCCCCGAAGTGACGCGGGAAGAACTGAAAAACGCCCTGCTAGCAGCCCAGGTAATCTTACAAACATCCAGCTGTTGAAAGGACCAGTTTTCAACAGCTTAGCTGCTGGGCAGGCTGGTTGAGAATTGTTCAGCCTGAATATGAGCTTTCAAGATGTTCTCTAGTTTGGGTATTGAAAACAACCAAGCTCAGAGAGCAGCAAAGAGCCTTCATTTTATCCCACCTTTATTACTTTATAAGTAACTGAAGACAGAAAATATACTTAATATCTTTCCTATTTTCCCCACAAGAGGAATTCAGTGAGTTGGGTGAAAAGAGAGAGACAGACAGACAGAGAGAGAAAGAGTGAGAGTGAGGGAGAGAGAGAATGACAGTGAGAGAGACAGAGGGTGAGTGAGACAGAGTTAGAGAGACTAGAGTTAGAGAGAAAGAGTTAGAGAGAGACAGTGAGTGAGTCAGAGTTAGAGAGACAGAGAGAGACAGTGAGTGAATGAGACAGAATTAGAGAGAAAGAGTTAGAGTGAGAGAGAGACAGAGTGACTGAGAGAGACAGAGTGAGTGAGTGAGTGAGACAGAGTTAGAGAGAAAGTTAGAGAGAGTGACAGACAGTGAATGAGTGAGACAGAGTTAGAAAGAAAGCATTTGTGATAGAGAGAGACAGAGACAGAGTGAATGAGTGAGACAGAGTTAGAGAGAAAGAGTTTGAGAGAGAGTGACTGTGAGAGAGACAGAGTGAGTAAGTGAGACAGTTAGAGAGAAAGAGTTAGAGTGAGAGAGAGAGAGTGACAGTGAGAGACAGTGAGTGAGTGAGTGAGACAGAGTTAGAAAGTTAGAGAGAGAGAGTGACAGAGAGACAGTGAGTGAGAGAGAGTGACAGTGAGAGACAGAGTGAATGAGTGAGACACAGTTAGAAAGAATTTGAGAGAGAGAGAGAGTCACCCAGTCAATTTTAATGCCTAAGACAGAACTAGAACTCATCTTCTGGCGATCGATCCAAGTCACCCAGCTTGCTTTGATGCCTAAAGAAGGACTAGAATTCACAAGCTCCTGGTTTCTTTGAATCCTAGTGTCAAGTCTGAAACTTTGGCAGCAACGTGCCTCTTTATTTCATTAGAGTAATTGTCGGGGAGGTGTGGCTTTAGAGCGGGTTAGCTGGAGGAATGAAACCTCCACGATTCCGCTGAAGATGGTGAGAGCCTGAAACCTTTTCAAGGTCATCGTAACAGGGTGTGGAGTTGAAGCAGACGGTTCCCATAGCAAAGTGAACATGTGGGCTATGTGAGAAGTTGGGGATTTGGCTGGGGAAATTAATGTTTAATTCTTTGAATTGGCATCTGGGAACCCCAGATTTAGTTTTGTCAGTGAGTTAGTTAATTGGTTAGTACAACATTACCATGCAGTGTATTCAGTAAACAGTAAGATATTCTGAAACGGAAGGAACCTGGAGAGTTTTATTTGGATTCTCAAACTGGATGTTGACATCTTAGTTGCCCTGGTCTCAACTTGCTTGGTTGCTCTTGACTTACCTTCCTGCAGGATAGTGCCGCGGTGCAGATCCTTCTGGAGATTTGCTTGCCTTTGGAAGAAGAAAGCCCTCCAGGCAGGAGGTCTACCAGACTGCTAAAGAACCACCCGGGAAGTGCCGCACGCAGTCCTCCAAACAAGCCGGTCAAAGAGGAAGAGGAGGAGGAAAAGGAAGGAGGAGACGGGGAGGAAGTAGGAGACAGCCTCCTCTGCAACTTGAGAGAAGTCCAGTGCCTGGTTTGCTGTCTGGTGCACCAGATGTTCATCGCCGACCCCAACATCGCTAAGCTGGTTCACTTCCAGGTGTGGTTGTGTTTTTGGCTGCTCCTTTGCACCCCTTGGCTGCTCGTGCCATGCTGGACCATCAATAGCTTTCAATGGGTCTGCGTGTGTGTTTATGTGTCTTTCCTGAGATCTGCCACATGAGCTCAAAGGGCCATCAGTGAAATATATTGGGTAATCCTCAAATTACGGTCCTAATGACCAACCCGTTTTATGGTCGTAGCTCGAGGACCACCTGTTCAGCAGTTTCTTCACTGGGGTGTTGTTTACGTCATTGTTTGGTCTGAGGTTAACCTTGGAGTTCATCTATGCCACAGGTGTCAAATTTGTGGCCTCATAGTGCTTTCCCGTGACATTTTTTCCCCTTTGCGGAGCTCGGATGGGAGTGGCCTGTGCGTGACGCATCCGGCCCATGGGCCGCCAATTTGACACCCCTGATCTAGGTGTCAACTCATAAAATATTTCTATGGTCTTTTTAGAGTTGCCAGCAGAAAGGGAGCTGAATATCCGGCTAGAGACTCATGATTTAAATGGAGGGAACTACTGGAGCCCTGACACTAGGCTGATCTGGGTGCTGATTGCTGGTGGAGAGATGCTGGAGTTTTTTTTTTTTTT